ACTACATTATTTTTTAGAAAAACGAAACTATTGATGAATTGACTGACAGTCAATTTGAATAATCATAGAAAGTGAATTTTTGTACGTGTACTCATAAATCGGTTATTAAAGAAACCGAGAAAAAATTTATCTTCCTGTGACCAGCTGTGTAAATGTTATAAACTTTAGGCTGTAGGAAAAATCCCCAAGACATCTGATAGTTACAGGAAAAAGGAACAAATCTCGAGAAGTAAAATTTTCAAGCGAGATATTTCTGTTTCAACTAATTAGATTAGAACTGGAAGAATAAAAATGTACTATTTAAGTTATTAAAATTTAATTTATACCTAAAATGTTTGACTGAAAATGTACCCCTAAATATAGCTTAAAAAGAACTGTTTACCGAGGGGAATATATAAGTTTTCATACTTTGTGAGTAATTTTTTTGATAGAGTTTTGTTCTCTAAGATGGATGGTTTGGTCGTGGAGCTTTCATATTTATTCTGAACGACATCATCAGAAAAAAACTTCGGGTAGACGTGAGGTGTTTTTGCTGATGATGTCGTTCAGAATAACGATGAAATCTTCACGGCCAAACCATCTAGCTCAGAGAACAAAGCTCCATCAAAATCATCCACCTGAGCTACAAATCTTCCCCACCATCTCATTTAATGAGTAAGCTAAAACGCCGAGTTACAGTATAGATGCCTAACCGTGAAAGAGATTATAACTTGTTAAACTTGAAAAAGTTTAAGTACACAAAAGAAGTAAATGAGAATGACATCAACAAATGACTCAGCCGGAGGGAAGTTTTAGCTAAGAATTTATTGTAATGAATATGCTGGAATTCCATTTAAATGGTTTGATCTAAAATTTAAACCGATGCACTAGACAGGACACTGAATAATGGCTGTACTGAGCTGTAAAATGAATAAAGGTGAGAATTGTGAACTTTTAAATTAGTTGCTGAAAGATATCGTGCTTCCCATATGATCCGAAAGTCTTAAGGTTACACTCTATAGATATGAGCCGGTTGATCAGCTCTAAATGAACTTCCATTTACGCAAATGGTAATAAAAAAAAACAGATAACACAGCTAGGCGATAAAACGGAAAATGATTCCCAACGAAAAGGTCTCATATTATTTAGTCAAGACGGTGACTAGAAACATTAATCAGGACTGTAGAAAGTGGAAAGATTTATTCAGTAATTGATATATCAGTGACAACAACAGGAAACATCTCCCAGTAAATAAATTTAACCTAGGAATTAATGAACAGAGATGGTGGCTGTACAAAATAAAATACTAGAAGATTAATCCATTATAAATTTATGTGCAGTTTCTGCAAAATCAGAAAAGCACCACGTTATATTTATTCCAGTAAAGCCAATTTTCCTTGTCAAAAAAGGAGTGAGTAAGCCCAAAACAAAATGGAGGGGATAAAATATCCGGAAACACTTATATACTTTACGGCTAATGATAGATTGTTCTGTATATGATATGGTAAGGAAATGTGAGCCTGATTGTAAGGCCTCAAATCTACTGGTCAGTAAATGATCCACAAAATTTGAATCTAATAATCATTCACGTTTCAAATGAATTTATTTTGCGTAAAATAGTTTGACATAAGTATGCGATCTTGTTATCTAAGGCAACCTATATTTTAAAAAATATCACGACCTGATCTAAGTTAGTCGCTTGTTGAAAACTAACAAGAACCAGGTAGTTGTTTCGTCCTAGTATAAAACCTAAAGGTCTTAGGCCCCATCCCCGGTGAAGTTGTGTATGGGCACTGCTGAGAAGTTCTATGCAATGATCTGCACAAAGTTTTATACTAATAACTCATATTATTCTGACCACCTATTTTTGCTTCTGATATTCGTTCACTTTTGGTAGAGCATTAATAATCTCTGTGTAGGTCCTTGTAATTATCAGTCAATCAATATTTTAAATCCATTTACTAAATAGTAGTTAAATCATATTCTTAATATTATCATTCATATACGATTTTCATTGGGTAGAAGTTTTTAATTTATCTGTCTAAAATTCAAACTCAATGTTTAGACGAAAGGGACATATTTAATCTTAAAAGGATTGATTGAAGATAAGATTTACAACCCTCTAGAATAAAATGAAATACATCATATGAGAATATTATTAGGAATTCCACATTTCAAAAACATTTATAAACCCACACATGTGTGACATATTGTTGTCTAAGATTTATACTGATAAAGCTATTTCCTCTTCAACTAGTAAGGTTGATAGATTAAACGTATTAACAAAAACACCTACACTCAACTATACTAATATTTACATGTGTTACTTACTTTCATTGGGTTGAATAAATAATTAAGATGAAACGAGTTTCAGGTAAATATAATCTGACATTTTATTATAATGATATTTATTTGAGTTTGTTTATAGCAGATCATTTTTGAGCTTTTTAGTAGTTACAAGACATGGTGCAATATTCAAAGATTTTGTGAGAATTTCGATATTAGGACTTGACACTATAGATTTAACAATGCCAGTACAGTTCGAAAATGAGGATGGAGGAAGTGACAGAATTAAATAAGTTAACGTGAAGATGAAGATATTGAATGACTTTAAACAAAAAAATTATAGAATGATTCGAAAATATTAGAAAAACATTCAAATCACTCGCAATCTTCAAGTCATACTGTAGTGTGTGCTATTGATGTCGACGGATATAAGTAGTATGTATCATCAATCGAAAGTGAAATGCCTGGCGACAGAAGGTTAAGAAGGTCAGATAAAAGAGAACGAGAACAGAGAACGATTGATGTGAAAAAAGAAAAGAAACAATCAAGTCTGAGACAATTGATTGCAAACGAAGTATATACTGTATGGTTCTCAGATTTTACTGAGAAATTTTGTAATTTTGTGTTCAGATACATTCGACTGTTCTCACTTGTGTTCTCGTTCACTACAATACAACTTTATTTTAACACAGGTTTTCTTACAAAATGATTTATATAAGCTGTAGTCAGCTTTATATTTGTTCAAAACTTATTTCAAAATGTTGCTAGCCATAAATGAAATGGAACTAGTTAAATTATAGATCATTTTTGACTATCGTTATTTACCTAACATTTTCTTAATTATCATATCAATAGGAAAACATTAATCTGTCCTCATTTTTATACACAAATAAATTATTGACTGTTTACAAATTGTTTTTAATCTTTGTGTAAATAAACACTGTACAGTTTTAGCTATAAGGCAGCTAAATTCTCCTTTAGTTTTCTCTACTTCTGACTTCTTCAAGTTATCGGTACATTGATTATGTCACAATTTTTCAACCTTGAATAGTTCATTTTTAAAATAATTTTATCAATATTTTCTTAAAAATAGCTATGTTGAACAATATCATTCATCAGTCAGTCAACCAGCTACAATGTAAGACCAGGCACATATATGCATCAGTCCAAGTTGCCACACCTTTATAGTACAACGAGATGAACACCAAATTTACAGAAGCAATTACTTCAATGGTAATAATATATAAACAAAAGACTGCGTATAAGTATATCATTCATAGAAAATTTTCAATTATCATCATTAAGCTTCATTAGTGTAAACATGAACTAAAACCAGAACAGCTCTAGTTTGCAGTTTAATAATCACCCTGAATCTTTGACTCTTCTAAGAATAAATATATATCTTAGAATAATCACTATATACACATTATTGTTGTTCTGCTGGTAAAAATATGACTTTTTCAATTTTAACCACTTAACGTTATTTTATGAATATTTCACAATATGATCAACAAATGTCAAACATCATTTCATCTAATTAAATTGTTGCATTACACTACAACCTTCGTAGAAGTCATTAATAGTCCGAAATATTGAAAAAATGTAAATACTGAATTAATTTGAACAAAATTTAATAACACTAATTGATATTAGTTAAATATTTTTGAGCTTTTCAGAAATTGACCATGTATTTAAATTAAACTTTAATCAAACCCAATGTCTTCTTAGTTTGTTTTATTCAAATTATTATTGAGATATAATTTAAATTGACTTATGAACAGATAACAACCAAATAAAAGACGCGGAATAAATGATAAGTGCACAAAGTCAATGAATAATTGAACATTATCTAAGGATAAAACACTCCTCAATTATTTATAGATAATATAATGTTTACTTGTTTATTCATTTATTTATTTAATTTTATTTATATTCTTAACTGTCGCTCAGTTTATTAGTTGGTTATACATGCGTCAAACACATTTAGATTGAACTTATTAAAATGAAACAAAGTCAAATAGAATAATGAAAAGAGATTAGTGTTGACATTTGCTTTGGAAATTATTCATTATTTCTTCATTTTTTTTCTATCAGTTCATTTTTCTAGTCCATTTGGTGTGTTCCATTTTGTATCTAAGCTTGTGTCGTCTTTGTGTATTTACAAAGAATAAACAAAATATCAATAAATGAGGACGTTCAGGATGAATAGACAATGCTACATTTTTTATATTTAGAGCAGAAAATGTTCCGGAAAAATGTCAGTAGTTTCAACTACACAAATAATGTTTACATTAGACAACATAAAAGTTACATATCATGCCATAAAGGTGGTTCATTTAATATTAATTCACTAAATATCACCCAACTTTAATGTGCATATACGTTAATTATACCAGTGGGTTATCAAAACAAATATACACTGGATGGTTTTGAATAAATAACTAATTGATTAACGAACAAGATTTCAAGATACTGATATAAATATCTCAGAAATATCATCTTTAATGAAATTGTGAGTTTAGATTGAATCTTATGGTATATAACCCCATTAAAGTAATCAATATGAGTTCAAAGTGATTTTTCACTACTGATATTTTTAAAAATACACATTTGGGTATCTAAAAACCAATCCAATCACCTATACTGAATTCAATAAAGAGTTATGCATCTTATAAAATGAAATTAGATAATAATATGAGAATAAAATCATAGAGTATGCAAACTGTCTAACTTACTTCTAATGGAAAATTGATTCCTGTTGAAAATCTACATGGCTGTAGATTGGTTTCGTTGTTATCTTATCATATAAAAATAAAAATTTACAATTAAATAAATAGCTAAGATTATATTACTTACAAACGCAGTCTACGGTAGTATAGTTGGTTAAGTGCATGACAGATATAACTACTTTTAAGTATTTTTGATAGAATTAAGTGATTTTACTTAGTTTAGACCTCAGAAATCAACCAGATGGGATGTTTATGACTATTTTGCTTGGCTTTCAACGTTTATACCCAACCCAGTCCGAATTTAACATATGTAATAGTTGGTTTGTAGCAATAAAAATGTATTAATCAGCTTAAAATAATAGTAAGTCGTCGGTGGCATGAAATAAGCGCAATCGACTAAAATCATCAAACTTTGATTGTTTACTTACCTGCATATAAATGAAGAATCACTTATTACATTTAGGTACCTGGAGCATCTTTCCATACTGTAGTGGATTCTACCCGTTACTTGGAGTAAATACGTTACAAAAAGTTAACATTAGATTGAAACTAATTCCTGTAGCAAAAGATTGACCATACTTTGGTTACTACTGCTAATTTTATCAATTATTACGTTTCAACTAGACTACCGATCACCCATAACTCATTTCCAATGTCTTATTTAGATTCATTTATTATGCTTGGTATAAAACGGCACTAAGAAAGCAGTCAAAGTAAAATGTGAATTCTGTGAATATATACCAAGAAGGAAATCCTAACCAATAAATAAATAGCGAAAAACAAGAATAACGCACATGAAACAACGAAATTCGAATAGAGGGACAACTATGATGGATTTCATTTTTGAGTTCACTCCTAGCTCCCAGAGAGGGTACATAATGCAGGGTGTGGGGGCAACTAGGAAGATATGGACGAAAAAATTATCAAGCCATTGGAACTATCGTTTTGAATATGTTTGAATACTTGATTCCGGGTCTTGGAAAGGTGTTGATGATGCAGATATGGGTTGTATAATATGTTTTTAAACATATAAAGTGTGCATAAACTTACGCCCTGGAATAATTCTGACCGGAAACAGGTGAATTGTTTATTAAAAACACTTTGTTCAAACACATACTAGGTAGAATATAGAGGTAAGATTTTAATGCTATTAAGTAGTTTGAACTGGCTGGAAAGCATCCACCTCAGCTGCAAGTTTTCTCTTTACTGGCAAAAGGTAAGACTAAAACAACTCTGGGGTTCATAATATAAGAGGAAATATTCACGAATACTTAGAAATAAAGATGCTGGTAAAGTAATAAATCATAAAAAGAAGTCTAATGTATGAAAAGATTTGCTATACATTATTTTATGCAAATGGACAATTTGACTTTCGATCATGAGATAGTAGTAGTAGTAGTAATAATAATAATAATAGTGGTAGTTAACAGTTTCAAACAAAGTTAAATGTTGGTACTGGTCGTAGTACCTAACCAGAATTGATCATGTGTTCGAGAAATGATCTATTAATTGATTATCATTCACTTTTAGATAGTCAAACAGATTAGTGTCTAGATAAAAGTTTGGAATGTGAACTGTTTGTGCAGTTCGTATAAACCCGATTTGACGAAAGTGAATAAATCAATCATTTTCACAAAAAATTAATAATATGCGTTTAAAACCAATTTATACAAATAAGAGAAACATTAATTATATTTCGATAAAATCATTCAATTTACTCACCACTTTGTTCCTAGTGTGAGAAAAAAGATACAAATAATACTAAAATTGACCAAAAATACAAATAAATTGAATTCAGTTACTTTAATGTAGATATGTTTTACTAAGAACTGACGTCAGCAACAGAGAAATTAAACATTGTGGAGCACTGGAAATTTGTTTCGTTACAGTTTAGAACTTCGTAACTTCGCAACACAGTGTGAGATTAACTTGCAGAAATTATAGTGTAAAGCCTTTCATTTTTGGAGTCAATAAATTAGTAAGTAACTCATGGAATCACCGGACATTATGAATGAATCGCTTTATATCGTAAGTCGACCAGAGTGAAAAAAAATACCGAATCCTCAAGCTTCGAGTGACTTAGAGAAAAGCTTGAAGATCTTTGGTTCACTCCCTACTCACGGTTGCAGATATGTCTTGATAAATAGCCTGAAGCAAGGATGGCGAGACTATAATTTATGGACTAACCAATCACATTTGGGATAGTAGGTCTTGGATTTGGGCGCGAAATTCATCCACCCATTTGTCTAAATAGTGTTTTGTCATTTAGCTCTTGCCGATTCGTGATGAAAACCCTAAATATAATTTCCAACCTTATGCATCAACAGTAAATTATAACCCTAATTCCTAATATCGGTTTATAAACTCATTTAGCCCTAGTAAGTAGGTCAATTTAGGGTCACTTTAGCGTCGCTCAAAGGTCGTCCGTAAATTATAGTCTCACAACAAGGGCATAACTCTCAGTACTCTTTAGTTACCATTGGCTCTCGATTAGTCCTGTAACATTTTCAAAGTAGGTAAAATAATACACACGCACGAACCAACTAAATCAGATATATTAAACATCTGCCCATAAAACTAGTCAGAATATACACTTTGTATCATGTTTAGATTTAAAATGACCTTTAGGAAACAATAATAAGTGACGACAAATTACAAAATAAGAAGTGATCTTGTTATTGTCACAATTTTATCTGTAAAACGTTTATCACAGAAAGAAAACACAAATTTCCTCTGCAATTATTTTATAGAAAAACAACTAACACTTTTCTCAATAGAACATAGAAAGTTGTGAATAATGAATAAAATTAGCTATTTGACCTCTAAAACCTTATTTCAACGTTTTAGTGGTTTCTAACTTATTTCTAGATGAGTTATAGACCGAGATGCAGTTTTCTGATTATGCTATAAATAACCTTAGAAAACTAAGGTAACTTCATAGTTTGTAACACGGACTGATACAACTTAGACGACTACTGAAAACCAAGAATCACGGGACGGCTTTTTCGTCCTAGTATGAGACTACTCAGGAGTACAAACTCACGACCCTATTGGGGAATGGAACCTAGGAACTTCAAAACTGCTGACAACCCCTTGACCTTTAGAGCACTAAGCCAACATTCAACATTCTACATGTCTATTATCACAGATTCTTTTAGTAAAGCTTTAAACTGAGACCCTTTTGCGATTTATACCATTTTTAATACAAGTATATGTGGTCCTAACTGTCTCAAGACTCGAAAACTTCATTTAGACATCCTGTAAACTAGAATGAGTAGTGGTGCAAAACTATCTGGAATATATATTTTGTAACTTAGGTTAAACTTTACTTACCATAAATTCTGAGAAAGCACTCGATGGTGACGTTCTACTTGGCCTGTGAATTGATTCACGATGCAACGCTGAACATAAGTAGTCGTTTGTTTTATTTAAACGTTCCATTGTTGTTCTGGATTGACAATAAAATAACACATTGGTCAATGAAAAAGTTCCTACTTTTTGGTTGAGTGTAGAACCAGTTATTAAACAGTCAACAAGAAACCATGGAGTCTTTAAAGCCTACTTTCTCCCATTCTGGAATTCATCAGTAGTTCATACTTAATAATTATCACTCGTAGGTTCCATTCAGGTAATACTAACTTTCCGTTTACTATGATAAACACCTTTCAGCAAAGTATATAGTGTTTCCAACTGATAAGCCAAAAATAGGTCTTAAAAAATTGAAGATTTCAACAGGGCTTCTTGGTCAATTTAATAGCTGACGACTTTTAGTTTATCTGACATGTAATACGTTTCAATGACAGCAAATATAACACAAAACAACTAAGTGCCATATTCAGTGTTTAGATTTTCCTATTAACCAGGCTATTGAAATAAGTATTTCAAAGTGAATGGAGGACTATTCAGTCAAAGTTTGATGCAAGTATATTGATTTTCAAACAAGTATCAGGATTTAGATTGGTAAGACTACTTATATCTTTTTTCTACAGTTACAGAAATAGAAAAACACATAATCAACAAGGATTTTTCAATAACTAACATTTTCTATTATTACTGATACTGTTACTACTCCTACTAATCTAGGATTTGTCTAGAAAAAATGTTATGTCTATGTGCTAACGTGGTGTGCCAACCTGAACAAATGCTCATGTGAGTCAGGTTCTATGTTGCGTATAACTGACTGAACAATATGATAGGTAGGACAAGAGAAAGGATTATATCAGCTTGCATAGAAAATTAAATATACATGAAACATGGTTCAAAAGAAACAAATGAAACTGAGAAATGAAAGTTATGAAATCATACTAAACTGAAGACTTAGAGGAAGAAAAAGAATATAATTGAGACTACTTGTCAGTCATGATGCTTAAAGCTTCCAAATAGAAATTATGACTTTAACAGATTTCAACTAGAACGTTTAAATCTACCCAAACACTTTGGATCACAAATAAGTACTTCATGGACTGAAGCCATATATTTGTATAATAACTTTTAGTCTTTTATAACTTCCTAACTTTTTGAACAGAGTAGAACGTTAAAGTAGGAAAATGACAAAGTGTTTGTAAAATAAACCACTATAACTTAAGTGTATGAAGGTATACAGCCTACACGACAGATTTTCCATTTATACCATAAAACACCACCTCTAACCTCTGCATTACTGAACTAGTATTTCCAACACATCCAAGTAATCCTTTAGGTATACCTATCGCTGAATACTAGCTATCCAAGAACGTTTTCAACCCTCAAAGGCCATTTTACACAATCATTTAGTAATTTATCATCATCTTAACGAAACAGATTTACATTGTCTACTAAGCAGAAGTTGGTTATTGAGTCTCTAGGCGGGAGATCAGTAATTGGAAACCCAAACAATCAGAACACTAATTAATAAGTCCAGTTTCTGGAATCTGGCTAGACCTCTGGCACTAAACCAGAACACCGGACCATCAATCTCAAGCACTTCATCCAGTATCTCGTTATTTTTATAGTAATGGTTATGCATAAGAGAGACGATGAATTTAATTAGGAAGAGTTAACAACACAAACAGAGGGAAATTCAGGTAATCAATGACTAGATACTATCTATATGGACATTTTAGAACATTAAAAACGGACACGGATTATTCATCTTATGAATAATTTATTGACTGTTCCATAAGCTCTTGATTTATGAGACCAACTAAGTTATTCATTGGGACTTATAATTCAACGCTATACACTTATCTTCTTGAAGTTACTTAAGATAAACCATACACACTTAAGCCATATATATGTGACTAACAAGACTATAAATCTCCATTAGCTTAACATCCATTGAAAACAAAAAGTTACATACATAGAATTACATTTATTTGATCATCGACAAAAAAAATGATACTTACCGCATAACATTTAATTGAGAATATAGATTTTGTTTCTCTTCTTCTTGACTAATTAATTCATGTTTATCCCTTGAAATAATAAAAAAAAAACATGAATAAAATTTTCAGATTAATTTTTATTATGAAATAATATCGAATCATTATACATTTATTTATTCTAATTTTAGATTTCTTTGCACTACCTTCATTTCACATCTAAGTGAAAGTTAGATGTTTCATTATCATAATTCGTTGTGTAGTCTACAAAATTAAAGTACTAAATGATTTCTATTTGATAAAACTTTGGTACCTAGATGTTGATTGACTTTAATGAAATACCCAATTATTTATCAACTTCATACATCTTATTATGTAAGACTTAATTTTTCCTAGATATATAACAATCGAAGGTATATATCATCTGTATATAAGTATGAAACATTATAATCCACTTAAATAAACCTATGGAATAATAAATAAATAATTAAATATATTTTTAATACCCCAATGAGTAGAAAAATTAAATTTTCTCTTAAGAAGTGACTTACATTGAGTCATGAAATGTCAGAAAATCTAATTTTTTTCTACTCATTGAGTTATTATAAAAATATTAAATAATCTAGCCAGTGCTTAATTTATTTGAAATTATCAAGTTAAACTTTGGTAATGATATCTACTATATAATAATAAATTACAATGATTAAGATCATGAGTCAGTTGAAGCTAGACCATTGAAATTACTATAATATTCACAAAACCCATCTGATATTAATCAACATATGCTTACTAGTGGCTGGCTTCAAGTGGTATTTCCTAGAGTTCTAGTGAGAAGCTGTGACCAGTGGAGTTCAACCGGGTCTATTGTGAGATAGTAACTCACTGATGACAATGGTGGATGTGTCGCCCAATTTCGTCGATCAGTTGAAGTTAGACGTTAACACCATTGGATCCTGGCTTAGTGGTCTAGTGGTTAAGTGCTCGCGCGCGAAACCAGTAGGTCCTGGGTTAAAATCTCTCAGGGGGCGAGGTTGTGGATGCGCACTGCTTAGGAGTCCCACGATAGGGCAAAACGGCCGTCTAGTGCTTCCAGGTTTTCCACGGTTGTCTAGCTTCAACTCACTCATGATCTTAACCATTGAAATTACTATAATATCTACAAAACCCATCTGATAATAATAAGTTGATTGAAATACGTATTTGAAAAGAAAAAAGATACAAAATATAAATGATGATTACATTGTTAATTGTGTTTCTTGTTGAATTAATTGATCTTTTAATGTTTTCAATTCAAATTCTCTTTGTGCTAGAATTGATAAAACATTTTGTAATTCAATTTTATATGAATTTTGTTCTATCGTTTCATTTTGATTAAGATGTTCATAATGTAAAGAAGAAATTAGAGAAGAATTTGATTTATCAAATGAATCAGTAAATTTTTTCAATATAATAGGACTATTCATTGAATCACAACAATTAGAGGAATTATTTTTAATTTTCTATATAAATAAATATAAAATAAAACAAAAATATCAAGCGGGAATAAGTTTATTTTAAAAAAAAATCTCGTAAATTATTAAACATATTCAATGAACCTGTAACTAGATTCATTCTACATATTATATCCATTCAATGAATACTGAATCAAAGGGGAATCACTTGAATATATTTATATTCAGAATAAATTAAACTGAGAGAGATTGAGAAGGATATATATTTTTTTATAAAAAAAACATTCCCTTTGTAGACTAAATTAAAATTTCATATTATATTAAAATACATTAAATTTGTTCTGATTCCTACCTAAAAACTGAATCATAGGATATTCGTTAAGATTATCCTAATAAGTCAGTCCTTAAATCAGAATTTATATCATCAATCAACTTAATGTTGATTGATTTATTAAAAATGCAAAAATTATCCAGTATATACAAAATAATTAACAATATTCTGAAATATTAAATGATATTAGAAGTTTGAAACTCTTAACCTATCTCTAGAAAACAATATATCATTAGTATGGGATTGTGGAGATTATTAAGTTTTGATTGAGATAATTACCATATGCTCACTAATGACTAGCTACGTGAGGGAAATCATGGAGTTCTAGTAAGTAACCGTGACCAGTGGAGCTAATCCGTGTTTGGTAGAGACAGGTATCTACCTCAGTGCAATGTAGGATGGTCGCGCAATTTCGTGGATTGGTTGAGGTTAGACATTAACACCGCTGGATGCCAGCTCAGTGGTCTAGAGGTTAAGCGTTCGCGCGCGAGACTGAAGGCCCCGGGTTCAAATCCTGCGAGCGGAACCGTAGATGCGCACTGCTTAGGAGTCCCGCACTAAGACGAAATGGCTGTCCAGTGCTTCTAGATTTCCACTGGTGGTCTAAAATCAATCGGTTCATGATCTCAATCAAAAAAATCATTTGGTATGCACAACTGTTAGATTCATGACCGATCAAACGATAATCCATGAGGATGAAACAAAACGTGATTTTAAACTGTATTCAAAATAGCAGACTATAGATAACCGATATAAAGTTATGTAAAGTGAATTAAAAGAGGTTTACTAACACTGAAACTAGAATAACTATAAAGTAAAAAAGGTCTGCTAAGTTTAACAATTGTACTACATACCCATATATTAAGAAAAACTTTTATAGATACAAATAATTCAGTGTACAATAATTAAAGCGCAGATAAGTTAATAATAGTCAATTATGAATATTCAAACATCACTGAATGTTAGTATGCGATGTATGCCACTTATGTTGACAGATATAAGTAGCATGTAGCACCATTCGAAAGTGGAATGTCTGTGAGCAGAAGGTTGAGAAGACTGAAATGTAGGGATGAGAGAAGAAAACTGAAAGCAATTTAAATAACAACAGGAATTAAGGAACAATGAAGCTTGCAGGAGACAATTCAAAGATGTGGAAATGATGTATTTGACGCATGATTTTCACACTTTACCAAACCACTGTACGATTGTGCATTAAACAATAAATTGTTTTTCCCCACCAAGTCTTCCTTCACTACAAATAAACCACTTGAGGAAAAAATCGATAAGAAAGCTCTTCTATGAATCAACCATAAGAAATAAACTCCAGTAATTTAAGATTTTAATTCTATCAAATTCAAGCTGAAACGAATTCAAATGCAATATTACGATAATTATTAATTATTACTATTACGGATAATACTCGTACACGTTGTAAACTTTCAACTTGTTCCCGTATTTCTGTGATTTCTTGTTCTTTGTTAGAGACCAGTGTTCTATACTCACTTTGTAACTTTTCATGTACCTAAAAAACACCGTACAGTAAAACGATGTAAAACAAATCTATTTAAAACAATGATATATATATATATATATATATATATATATATATATATATATATATATATATATATATATATATATATATATATATAGAATAAATTGTTTGGAAATTATCTTTCCACTACGAAGCAATATTTATCATGGAATAAATATAAGTAGAAAGCCAATAGAAGACTGATCCACTTTCACAAAGATAATGAAATAAATTGGAGTATTCTATGGTCACTTGAAAATTGAACTGACAAACTGCAATACAAACATCAGATAACTTTCAAGAATTTTGCAACAGCTATTACATTGATTATTAACGTATCGTTGAAAAACGTCATAGATTTCAATAAACATCACATTGGTATTTATTCGAATTGTTTTTTTATTGTTGTTATATCTATAAATTGATTGTAGGAAATCCGACATAATGTCCATAAGTGGTCATTTCACGTATATTAAATCACGGAAATTCAACGTGGTTTACTTTTGTACTTCTATCTTGACTACTTACTAGTAGTTAACACAATATCTGGTGTTATTATTGTCTACTGATTTAAATTTTTGTAAAAAGATTTCTACTGAATATTGTGGCTGATATCAGGAATCTGTTCATCTACATGAAGAGATTACTAAGCTATCACAGAATAGCAAATTTCTAACTTAAATCTAATCACATCTCACTATCCAAGAATAAATTGTTTTTGATTGAGATCAGGAACCGATTGATGTTAGACCACCATCCCGCTCGCAGGATGCGCACTGCTGAGGAGTCCCACAATAGGACGAAACGGCCATCCAGTGCTTCCAGGTTTTCAATTGTGGTGGTCTAACATCAATCGGTTCATGATCTCAATCAAAAACTTATTAATCTCCACAACCCCTATACTAGTAATAAATTGTTTTTCTAATATAATTGATTTTCGAATCGTAATATGAGCAATAATAATGATAATTCAAATAGGATTTTCTTTATAAAGTTTCTTTCATTCATTTTCTATGTATTTCTTACAATAAATAATTGCAAATATTAGTTTGAAGCGTACAAACATGAAAACTAACGAGCACTAGTAAGTGATTGTATAATAAGAAGCTTACTTCCGATTTGGCACGTTCCTCTATTGATTTAATTTGTAATTCAAGTTCACCTTCTAATCTAGATAAATCACTTTTACGTTTTTCCTTCTCTCTGTCATGATCACATAGAAAAATAAACAAAAATAATAATAAAACAAAATATGTAAACATTTTAATTTTGGTTGAGAACAAAATAATAAATTTAATAAATGAAAGACTAATATGGTGTTTCAAATTTTTTAGAGAATTAAGTAATTAATCTAAAGAAATATTAACAATGTTTCAAAATCAAGGGAAACTAACTAGTACTAAACAATCGGTTCTTCGTTATGATTTAAACTAGCACTCGAAATCAATCTAATACACAATCACACTTTATAAATCTATGAAGGTCACATCTTGAAACGATGGAGATTTTACTAAGCCATAATATTTGAATTCAGTAAATAACAAATTCCAGTCACAATCGATTTTAAAGATGAAGGAACTGTCAACGCGAGCACATGTCCTCACGCTTTATTCAAGATCTTCATAGATTATAATCTTGTATCAGAAATTCTAGACATTTAAATCAAATTGAGTCACTAGTAAACATTAAATTCACTCTAATAAGAAATCAATCACAATCCTCGACAATACGTGATTTAGCGCTTTATGATATCAGTAGTACTCAAAAAGTAGGATTAAAGAACAATCCCTTTTACCCGTCTTCACTGATGTTTATATCCGTGGTCTAAGCTTATTTAAACTATTCACTTTGATAAGCACTTTCATTATGTCTTGCCATCAGAGCATATCAGAGTTTGGTCGTCATTGAGCTATGTGGCCTAAGACCATAAAGTTTTACTTTTAATATAAAACAAATTAAGTAAGTTCATAAAATATTATAGACCCTGATGGTATTCATTGATGAAGAACATTTTAAATATTTTCAGTTATAGTAATTATTAACTATCGTTTAGATTTAAGATGAATTATACACTTTGCCATCATCACAGTAATATATTACTGACAAATACTTTCGAAAACGATTTTTAGGTCTTCTTATCTGGGTTAACATTCAAGAAGAACAAATTCATACGCATATATACACACATGGCAGATAAATTGAAGTATTATGTATAAACCGGTTAGTTAAGAGAATGAAGCTTAAGAATCATGTATTTTTTTATCAAATTAAACCGTTACTGATCTATACTAGAAATTTAACAGAAGTATTAAACATATTTCTTAAAAACAATAGTTACTTTTTCCCAAATGACAATGCTAACTAGATGAACAACTATGAGGTGCCAGAATAATTAAAGTTAATATGGAGGATATTACTTCTATTTTTTTCAAAAAGTGATTTATTACAAGAAAACAAGAATAAACAACATTCTCATATTCAAAACAGAACATAAATGTAAACTCCTGAAATATTTTTTTATAATCAGAAAAGGTATAGAAAACGTGACAGGAATTACAATAAAAAGTAATAAATGTAACATATTAAAAATTAATAATATAATTCGGAAATGTTTGACAGTTTAATAGAATAAATTTATCAAATTTTTCCTATTGAAGATTAGATATACAAGATACAAATAGACAGTTGGATAGGAAACAAAAAGACAACTAACCATTTGTCATTGTCATTTATTAAACTAAAAATGAGTAATAAATATAAGGGTTACTCCTGTTGTAAACTAATGTCAGTAGAATAACAAACTGTTATTTTAAAATTAGTGAGCAGTTACTATACCGTCACGATTACATAATGTTTTAAATTCTATAATATTCAGTTATCAGTGACAAAAAACTTTTTGAAATTTGGTTAAAAGTTCAAATGAAGCAATATGTTTTTAATAAAGCGTATCAATTTGATCTATACTACTAGTAGTACAACCTGTATCATTTAATTTATTAGAACATTAAACCATACTTAGAAAGTTGTATTCGTGTCAAGTGATCAACTTATTGATAAGCATATAAGTATCGTTATCATTGATAAACGTACACTTATCCAGAAATATAACTTACTGTTCAAAATTCATTTTTTCTGATATATGATAACTTTATGTGGTATCTTGAAGTAGCTATGAGAAATATATAATTATGTTTATCTATATTTATAATCTACAAATTACATTCCTTGCTATTCTCACAAATTCAAGGATTCTAATCTTGAATGGTCTTCTTAAAATATATGCTAACGAAAAACCGAAATAAATATTTTGTAAGAAATTAGTTAGATAAAATATTCAATAAAATGACAAACCACTGTATCAATTTTACATATAAGTAATATATGCACTATGGTTCAATTACAATATTACTATAGCACAATTGTACAGTATAGTTAAAACTGAAAACTTAAAAAAACAGATCAACTAAGATTTAACATTGATCAGGGAATTAAAATTAGAAATATGTACAAATTTTACAACTTGTTTCAACAAATCATCTCAAAAAATACACACCATATATACTAACAACATTTATCATTGACATTGTCTTTAATAATCAAACATCAATAGTTTTTTTCTGTTCCTTGTTTCTTTTTTTGTCTCCAAAAAGATAAACTAATTCATGTTAAAGAAAAGAATAATTCACAACTAAATTGATTCTCACTTTTATTAATAAGACAACAAAACTAAAGTCAAATTTTAAGCGGTTTCTTAGAATAACTCCACCATCAGTTTAAGTAAGTAATATAAATTGGAAAAAAAAAGAAAAAAAACATAGAACAGATATTTTAATTCTGTTCACAAGGCATTCGGAAAAAATTAATCACTGAGAACATGAGTGTAAATAAAGTGAACTAATAAAGATATAGATATTTTTTAAGTACCTAATCTTCAAGTTTATATTGAATAATGTCTTAGCGACAAAATCATTATTGTATTACATATATATGCACAATAGGTTCGTGATTTTATCAATAAGTGGATAAAGATTTTTCAAAGTCTAAAATGTAGTTGCTTATGACTTAGGTTAATTTTTACGTTTTCTTTAAAACCTCTAAAAGATAAAATTTAATTTATAAGTGGATAAATGAGACTTCGCTTAGTTTCACCTTGTCATCATCAGTATAAATGCTTACAGATTTATTTCAGTAAATGAATAAATTTATTCAATACTTTATTTATTTATCTGTATAAAGTTGTAGAGATTGTTGAATTTTAATCGAGATCATGAACCGATCAATGTTAGACCATATTTGAAAAGCTGAAATATTTCTATTCATTTTTATTATAACATTAAATACATTATTATTAGTTATAAACTAAACAAATCTAAGTAGGTTATCTATTCTCTTTATTAAATTATTCACTAATTTCATCAAATCAGTTCAGTATACTAGTTGAAACTATCTATCAGTATAGAGTTTTTCAAACTAAATATGCATTGTACATTAAAGGCAGCAATAAAACTGAAAATTGTTTTTCGCTTGATTAGATTTCCTACATGTATGACCCACAACTGGTTTAACAGCATATATATATATATATATATATATATATATATATATATATATATATATATATATATATATATATATATATATTATATATATATATATATATATATATATATATGAGAGAGAGAGAGAGCAAAACTTAACGTTCATTCACCGAAATAATCAGGAAGATTATAAATGACACATTTAATATTAAAACGACAGCAAGCATGTTTCAATGTTAAGCTTCTAAAGACTTTCATCATCCCTGTTGCACTTATTTACTGATCAGTTTGGTTTTAAGTTCATCAGCACGACTGCTGTAGACTAGTTAAAATTTTGTTATTGTGACCGAGTGTTTAAAGTTTACTGTTTACTCTGTTTAAACATTTGACAAATTACAATTTGGTGCTTATTACTGTAAGGCTTATGTTATCCGTCATGTTTTAAATGTTCAATAATTGTTAGTAATAAATATATTTTCGTTATATCCAAATAAGTAGAAAAATTGTATTTCTTGAGTTTCGTGACTTAATGTGAGCCACTTCGTCAGAGTACATATATATAGCCCTTAAAATGTAATAAAAACATCAAGAATTATTTTATTCATTAAATAATTTGGAAAAATAATGAGAACAAAGGGAATACATAGATGTATAAGCTGTTTATATCTTAAGAAAATGCTTAATTTCAACCTAATTTTAATTATTCCTCTGGTAATGAAAAATGTATGAACAAAGTTTTCATCATAAGACCTCCAAAGAAAGTTTACCACAGTCATACAAATAGGATATATATTCATATAAACCAGTAATTATTTCATTTATTTCATTTTCTGAAATATGGGGTGTATTACTTGCTAAATATGGGTCGTTTGATGTATTTAAAAGACTTACTTGATATTTTGTTCCAAGCAATGAAGTAACTGGTTTATAAAACAACTAGTGATGATAAAACTAGTGTTGGGGCAAGTCTGTAATTTATGGACGAACCACTCAAAATTAAGCCGAAGATAATCGAATTTCGGCCCGAAATTCACTGATCCATATAACTAAATAGTATTTTGTCATTACGGATTATGTCAATTCATGATGAAAACTCTAACTCCTGACCACGATTGCTCACAATAATTAATGATCTTATTATGACGCTGGTAAATGGTTAAAGCTTTCTAAGATCACTACAGGATCGCTCGAATGTCGTCCACAAATTATAGTCTCAGTAGTGTTAGTCTCAGAGTATAGGCTTTTTTCTATGGTAAATGTATAGGATCAGTGAACTCCAGTCTAATTATTCCTCAAGGTGAACACAATCATTCCTTAGAAAACTGATTGCTAATCAATGAACGGTTTTCCGAAGTTCGTAAAATGGATGGACGAATGATGCGAATGCATCATTCAATGAGACATCTCCAGTATATGCGGTAGAGTAGTCCCAGTTTATATACATTAGTACCTGTTAATCTATTCTATTAATAAACGTTTAACTGGTTCTATGAGTTCTCTAAAAGCCTTAACCAAACATAATATCTCTACCACAAGGTGAGAGTTGGTTGGGCTAGTAAATCGTTACATAGTAGTGCTTCAACGTGAGATTACTTACGTCAAGCAGTCACATCATCACAATCAATTATCGAAGATCGTTAACTGAGCAACATAACTAAGATTCATAATATCGATTAAGCCTTCACGCCTACAAATGCAGCTACATGAAAATATTTCGAATTGCTAGAGAAAAATGTAAGTTGTGATAATGAATGCCACTGAAAAAGTGATTTTGAGAGTACTTGTAGATTTGCTTAACATTTCAGATAACTTTGGAAAAATTGTTTTACTACTTCCAACTACTAAGTAGCACATGTCCCTAACAAAAATCTTTCAGTCCATGATCTGATGATGTACAAAAAGAACAGAAATTAAAGTTTGTTTGATAAAATCGGTGACACTCTTCAGGTTTCCAATAAACTCATTTATATTCAAAGTTGTTAGATAAGTATTTATTGTTAAATATTCTCTAAAAGTATATATTTCTATTTTTACGGAGATCACGAACTGATCTAAGTTAGACAACTTCTGGAAGCCTGAGAACACTGGATTGTCATTTTGTCTTAAAGTGGGACTCTTCAGCAGTGCGCATACACAACCTCAGAACTGATGTCAGACTCAGGCCTTCAGTGTCGCGAGCGAAATTCTAATCTCTAGACCACCAAGTCAAACCCAAAGCATACGAGTTAAACTTCAATCACTCGAATATGCTGGGCGACTATGGTTGTCTAACTTAGATTGGTTTGTGATCTAAATAAAACTTAAAAATATCCACAAATTCATAATGAGATGTTGTTTTGATAGTGTAATGATAAGATGGAGTTAATCCGAAAAGTGTGATTTGTTTTCGCCAAATATTTCGAAAAATTTGGTTACACATATACCTGTTAACTTATTTATATACGAAGAAATACTGAGGATAAAGTAAATATATAAAGTGAAAAGTGAAAATATATGAGAGAAGAAAGAAATATAGCATGTAAACAATAAGAAGTTGAGATAGTTTAAAAGATTTGTAGCTTAAGTGGATGATTTTGGTGGAGATTTCCGGTGAATCGTTTTTATACAACATTTTGAAAGTTGTACTATGGACAATTCTATGCCATGTTTCAATCGTGCATTCTGTTAATTTCCTTGTGTGAGGAAGTAGTAAGTTGCCCTGAATCCTAAGAAAGTAACACAGTGTCTGGATGACATCTATGATTATAACAATAACTTTCAATTGTAACTATAACATTGGTAAATTAAAAATGATATCTTAGCCAACAGGGGATATGATCATTTCTATCAGAGCTATCTAATAAACTAACTTTCATTTAAATCATTAATCCCTCAAGAAATAAAAAGCGTTTGTGAAACAACCTTATGATAGCTGTCATCACCATGTCATTATGATTATCGGTGTTTTTGAGCATATATGATCTACTCCATTTGCAGACTGTCAATAATTAGAAGTTAATACTCTGTAATAAACACACATTGTCACATATACAAATCCTATCGTGAATTTTTTAGGCATTAACCATACAATCAAATAAAAAATCAGAAACTTTACTATTAATAAAGTGTTAATCATAAAAATGTCTGATGATATGTCATTGAAAACTGACATTATACACAAGTTAATTCAATATTATTGATGGTAAAACAATTCTTGAAAGAAAAAATAGATTTTAATGCAATTTTGTAGAAATAAATTTCTCAAAAAGCTCCCTCAAAATGTATTTGTGAAAAAGTAGGCTTTATTATCCAGTCCATTACTATTATCACTATTATTGTTATTATTATCACTATGGTTGAGTTTTTGAAAACAGTAACAATAAATATGCTTTGTAATTTGACATAAACAGTAATCGTGATTTATATGTATCCATGCCAAAATATGAAAATGTCATATAAACGTTTGCATAACACACAAATAACAAAAAATATACTCAGACGACTCATTGAATATTTTGACAATTATGAAAGAAAACCAAAACACATGGAAAAGATTTTCTAGATTGGTTTAAAATGTAGATAAGTAATTATATGCTCATTAAGCGTATAAACAAATTGATTCAATTTGAAGTAAGGTTTATTCATAAACCGATACTAACTGATGAAATATTGTAAGCTAAAAGATACTAGTTTTCGGTGATACATTAACTGATATCAGATTACCAAAGCAGTTTGTAGAGATTCTTAAATTTTATAGTTTAGATTGCAGACTGATAACTGAAAACTGGGGTGTATTGGTCCACTGCTCCTAGTCAATCATAATTCATATGATCACTGAACTGATTTTATGATATCCTACATCAGTATTTACGGAAATAATTTTTAAGCCATTGAACTATAAAACAATATTCAATCAGTATTTTATTTTCTTCCGTTATGCATGTTTGTTTTCGAAACCTTAGACAGAGATTGATGTGAATATATGTAAGTTGATATACACATCTAAACTGTTTGATAAGGTTACCAGATTGTTCAGAACAATGAATACATTCTAATAAATATTAAAGAACAATTAATATTGAATAACTTTTGTCGTCATTCGTTATTTTTCGAGAAATTGAAAAGTATGTCATCGATATAATAAACAGGCAAGATGGATATCCAGTTGAATACAAACGCATTATACTCTCTCATTTTCTAAATAACCTCAAATGACACTATACCATGTTAGGAAGTAGTCAAAATAATAGAAAAACTTCAGGAGGGAAATAATGAAAGCAAAAACTGATATGTGTAAGAAGTAGGATAGATTTCTTATACATCTTATAATGCAGTAATCTGGACATCAGTAAAATTGTAAGATATTTCCGGTTACCAGATTATTTTGTCCGAGCTTTCGTTTGTTAATGATAAAGAATAAAGTCTATCTCATGATAGAATTCTAATCTTCATTCAAGAGTTCAACGATGAAACACTATTTATTACATAAAAGTATTACTAATAATTATTCATTTTTATTTAAGAATCAAATTAATATGAATTACTTACTTTATGTATGTTTCTTCCAAATCGATTTTTTCTTTTTTAGTTCGTAAAAGTTCATTTCGAAAATCATTTAGAACGATTTTAAACGGACTTAATAATTCTGGATAATTCTGTGATATTACACTTTCTAATTCACAAACACTACTGTATCTAGAAAAAATAACAATCAGAAGACGAAATAGAGTAAAGTAAGATATAAAAAAAAAGTGAATATTTAATAACTACATTGAAAGAGTTTGTGTCATTAGCAAAATATACTACTAAGTTTACACTATAAGTAGAAAGACACTACTGATACTACTAAACAACTCTCAAATGCATTCACTGATCAGACTATTCAGCCTAATTTTCGCCATACAAAATAGTATTTAAATCCACTCTGAACAATGGAAGTTGAGATACTGGATTTCGATTGGCCTAATTTAGTCAAACATACTGAACCCATAAGTTGTGGCCAAACTCCTTATGTTGTTCAGCAATCAATTAAGATATTGAAAGTACATTTGAAATAAATATTTGTAGAGAAAGGATACTGGTTGATCAATAATCTGTGTCGTTATCGAATGTAAATGTATAAATTCCAAACCATCGAACCTGTAACCTGCATTTGACCTACAGCATTCCATTGGAATTATCGGTGAAACATTACGATTTAGGAAATATATAGACTAAAATTTGAATTGTCCTCTTTCATTGCATTCAACACTTAATTTGTTCTCTTGATTTTCAACCTCGATTATTCATTTGTTTTGTGTGCTGCATTGATAATTACCTCCGCTTTGAAAATACTTACATCAATGACTGTATCTCACTTCACTAACGAAAAGACAAGGATATTCAGTGTTTGATGACTGTTATGCTTGAGTGCACTCACCAGACTTCTCTTCACGCTTCTATTTTTCCTGGCTAACTTTAAATATATCCTCATCGTATCACTGATTATTTATTGTAGGGGTACTTATAGAGCAGTTAATCAATTTAAATAAAAATTTATCTAAATCAGCAAGCGCATATATGACGACAGATCTGTCACAGTAATTTTTGTTATTGTTCTATGTTCTCTATTTTTGTTCCTGTTGGGTCGGCTTCCGGAGAACTTCAACGGAGCCTCCAGAGGCCCACAAGGAACCGAAGAGTCCTGGCCAATCAGAGTGTGATGGAACGTTCTAGAATTCCAACGTGGCGTGCTACTATTGGTCGGTAGCATAATGTGTTGTTATCGGATTGGCTGTAAAATGATGTTGATTTAACAGACGCCAAAATCTATAAATACCCATGATTTTCTGTACAAAAATGAACCTTGGAATAAAGTGCTTTCTCTCATTCTTGTGTCTTCTCTCTGGAGTTGAAGTCGCTGTGTAGTTCTAGACTGCGGGTTATCGGAATAGCTTAGGAATCGTATATAGCGTTCAACCTACACGACTTATCAGTTCCGTTTCGTTTTCCTCCCTAATTACAGATGATTATAAGTAACTTATAATAATACTGGAATCGCTTTGCCAAAACTTACGTCTCAGTTGATCGACTAAGAAAACACTGTTTCCCAACTACTTGCTTCACATAATTATTATAATCATTCCGACAAATGTTCCATCAAAACAATCTCTAAATCACATCTTTTCAAACAATATACTTCCTTTTTATGTTACGATTCTTTATGCAGCAACCTGACCATGCCTGTGAGCAGGCATGCATTCTGTAGTTATTTTCACAATATAATTTATGGGCGGTATCAATACCAAAGTTGGAATTGATGGTTTCAAATAAATTGAGCATTAGGTATAAAGTTGATAAAAATATAATAATGATAGTTTTGTGATATAAATATTATTAAAAACATATTAAAACAAAATTGTTTATCTATGAATGAAAACTTAAGTGTAAGATCTTGGATTGGAACTGTAGTTATACCTTACCGCCAAGGTACAGCAAAATTACAACAGTTCTTGAAATCTTACAGGATTAAAGCCTTCGATAAAACACTCAACACTCTTTAAAACGGTCTAGTTAGAAATAAAGATACGATCCCATTTGCATTGACATAATATGGTATCAACAGCTCAAGTTGAGTCGATTGGAGGGTCGACTCGTACCGAGGAGCACTTACACAAAAAGGCCTAAAAATCTTGTAGAGCTGGACAATTTCCAAATTAAATCGGCAATAGCAGTATATGCTATTTTCAATAGTCCGCAAATTGATATTAAAAACGTTGAAACGACTTCAGAAAGGTTTTTCCAACTATATAGAGAGGTGACTAACCGAACTATTTCATACAATGGTGAATCCCTCTGCTCTCAATAGAAAGGAAGGTCTGACTATCGATCTAACTTGAACGTTTTATTCAAACAATTACATTTGACTCCATTCATTTTCAGCACAGTCGACACACAAACACACCGAAACTTTAACTACATTCCAGCATTTTGGAAATCATACATTTTTCATACCCACCAACATAAATACAAATAAACACAGTGATGTCTCATACAGAATCATCATGATCAAAAGTAATATGACATTGATACACTCAGACCTATTGTGATTCTGACTGTCTTAAAATATATTCCACTTTGTTTCTTTTGTACCATTTAAACTCATGTCAATTTATTTCGTTTGTTTATCTACTTATTTACTTCGAAGAAGTGGCTAATATTCGGTCATGAAGTCAGAAATACAAATTTCTACTGGTGAGTATATCCTAAAATACAATTATTTTATTATTATTTTAAACGACATAACTGAATCAGGCCTACAGGAGGTCAGTTACGGCCCGGATAGCTCAGTGGTAACGTCTCTGACTGTGACGCTGGGTGGCACGGGGTAGAATATATCAGTGAGCACCAGTTCCCTCAAGATTACAGGTACACTTTGCTGACGAGCGCCAAGTAGCATGAGACCTAGGTCCAGGGTTTCCTGTTGACTACCTCCAACCATCATCTTATCTCAACATAGTGCACACAATGTCGAGTCACCTAAACTAGTGGCCACATTACAACTTGGTCGACAGGATTCGATCTGCACTAAGAAGGACCTGACGTATATGAAAGTGATCACCACACAGTGATCAATCAATTGAATGTTCTACACACAAACAACAGTATTAATTCTTCAATACTCATGCACATAGTTATTTAGCAATAGTATTATCATTTTAAAATTATTTAGCTAGGATTTGAGAATATATACCGCAGGGAAATTATCAACTCAGCCACCTAACTCACTCCAATAATTTTATCAATTAACAGAACTGTTGTAAAAATGATTTATTCGAGTACATAATAAATAATTGATTTGGAGATTGGTTAGAATAAGTAGAATAATGTAATAACTAAAAGGGTAATCTATTCGTGTTCACACCTTAGAAAGAAAATCATATCTCTAATATAAAATAAAGTGCGAAAAATCATTTAACTTTTTGTTACCATGATACATCATAGAAGAGTCAGTTGAAAAATTCACGTATCAAATTTTGAATGAACAACTAATCAAATCATGGTATAACTTATATAATAATCTGATCTTAGCCAGTCATTATAAACCAGGAAACACTGGACAGCTGTCTCGTCGTAGTGTGTTACTACTCGGTTAAGATTAGTCCATGATGTGGACTATGAAATCGAACAGCTTCCACAAACCCTTCCCACAATAATGGTTAAAATAATAAAATTTGGTTAGATAAACATAACTGAAAGAAAAAGACACGCATATTTTACAATAATTCACTTTTAAGTAGATCTGCTTCAACCTTTACATTAATAAAACAGAAATATTTCTATGGATAAATGAAACTATTAAACCAATCAAAGCAATTTATGAGCCAATTTTCACAATGTAATAGGTAGCATAACTACAAATAATAGTTAGAAAGTATGACTGCATATTAAGAAGACAAGTGTACTCGTAGGGGTAAGAATACTACAAATAATAAAAGTTCTAACCCATAGTTCAACATAGGAAGTATGTCAAAACTTGGATAAACAGATCTTTAAAAAACTCATCACTAAAAACATTCAAAATTCCGTAATAAGATAGTGAAGAATATAAAAGCAGGGAGTTGACAAACAAGAACAGAATGTGAAAAAATCAATAAAACTATTTACTTAGTAATATGTGTCAAACGAAGGAATAGAGGCATCACGGATTTTTTTGAACACATAAGTCAAGGTATGGATCTCCATTCAGTGCCTCTCAGTTTTCAGTGGTTGTTTAGCTAAGATCGGTTGTTGGTGTATATCAAAGGGTTACTCATCTCATCAACCCGTTTGTAAAAATAGTATTCACCAAGCTATACTACTCAATAGTTCTAGAGATGAAAGTGGCACCTGAGTTATTGAAGCACTTTTCCTGCTAAGAAATAAATCTGTTGTTCAGATCTCCTCTCCCCAAATAGTGTTTTTATCATCACTTCTTATGGTGCTAAGAAAAATACCTGGTAATTCATAAGTGGTAGATGATGAAAACGTAGTTCAAACCTTTCTCTATACAAATTAATATCGGTTACATTTCAGTTGATTGGTATATTTTGCAAATGTTCATTTAACGTTGCACTTTAAATCATATGAAAAGGTTACCCAAACTGATTGTTTTGAGTATTATTTTCTGTGTGCTACAATAATTTCAGTTTTGAACTATTTTGATCAATAAGATTTATGTCATACAAATAAATGAAATTCAGTAGAACACCCTGACAATCCTTTAATATCATAGAATATTTAAAACACAATCAGTAGATAACATTCAGTTGACTTTTTATGTATGAAATAACACTCACTAATCAAGTAATTCATCGGCATTGCTTTCATTGGTTTTCCTTACAAAAATTATCAACTACATAGTACCAGTGTGTACAAGCCCATATCGCATCTAGAAAATGGGCGATTTACACATGAATGGCAAAATTACCAACACACATATAAACGTCGGTGTGTATGAACAAAATAAATTTTATTTATGAAAAAAGATAATTTTGTTCTAATGGACCCTAAATCAGAATGTCTACTAGTTAGGTCCAAGTTTTAATTGCTTTGCAAATTTATTAAACGCTTATCATGTAAGACTGACGTAACATGTGATATATTATGCATTGCTCATACTGGACTATTATTTTATATTCATTCATTTTGAATATTTTGAAAACAGGTCAGAGAAA